AGCCCTGACAGCAAACTGACATCAGTAGGGCTCTATATTTGGTTAGACCCGAACTTAAGGGGTGACAATGTCTAGAGGTCACTGAATGAAGTACAAATACATACATACAAATACATACATTATTCGTCATCTTCAAAAGACAAAAGTAAAAGAAATGGTATGGCTATTGAAGTTGTTAGCAGCTGCCCATATCATGTTTCGATTTCCTGCTATCGTTTCTTACGACACCCAGGGATACTACACTCATTTGTTTAATACTAGCCAGTTATACATCGTCCTCAATGGTGAATATTCATTGATAGATTTAAAGATTAATTTTTTATATATCAGCTATAATAAAAACCTATAAAAGTCGACTTTTGTACATAGATCTCCCCATAGATTGCCTCGTGGGACAGATTTTACCATAGTTTCCATACTTAGCTGACGGTCGGAAAAATTTAAGATGGATGACGTTATTGTAAATATTACTGATTCGAAAATGCTTTTTCGATATTCCGACAACATTTCGCTAGTATTGATGGAGTTCACTTGACTTATGTTTAAACTGATACTGTTTTAAATTTATAGCTAATAATCTTTAATTTTTCTTTTTTTTAGTTGATTAAACATACAATGGGTTTTATTGGTTTACTAAATTTAAAAATGGACCAGAAAGCTTTGATGATTGAGTGATGACAGATTGGCTGCCAACCGCGATCACACAAGAAAATGTCGGATCAGTCTAAAAACTTACTAAAAAAAACTACCAAATTACTGTGGAGCTTCAGCAAGAGTTGATATTAGATCAGCAACAATACAAATTATCATTCACGACCAAATCTTTCTCCCAAAGCGTTGTTCAAGATGAAGAAAACAATCTTACCGCTGTCAGAAAGATGATCAATTCTATAAGTAAGTAAGTAAGTAGTTTCAAAATTAATCAATTAAGTCTTGTGAAGATTATAAAAACTTAAGAAAAAATGGTTAAGAATCTCTGGAAAATAGTACCAGATTGAACCTACTTTAAGGTTAATACTTGAAGCTAAAAACATCATCCAATTTCGTTTAACATGTCCCGCAATTAGAATGCGTATGGCATCCGAGGACTGGTGAATTTTCTTACTAGTATTAGGAAACAAACACAACCACACAGCAAAACATCGCTAAACCCTCTGTCAAGCGGGTTTAGCGATGTTTTGCTGTGTGGTTGTGTTTGTCCAACAAGAAGATTATTATTGTGATCTCATTTAAAACTTATGAATTCTTCAAGAAAGCATTACGAACACATTTTTAAGTCAATGCTATTTTAAGAATCTTAGATTTATTTTTGTATGTAAATTGAAAGGAACAAAGTTTCGTAATAACAGTTTGTGACACTTCTAAAGCGTGTCATAATCTGCCGGAACCTCTTTCGTATTTAAATTTACCAATTTCGCCTTTGCTTAGTAGCGAGTTTTAATGAAAACCTCTAAGACATGGAACAGTAATATTCATGTTTATTAAAAATGTAAAACGTAATTATATAGGTAAGACCTGCGGGAGTTCTATGGAAGTAAGTAGCTCAGGAATCAGGACCCCGTCTTGGGAGTCTTCTATGTTCAGTAGTGGAGTTTTGAGGATCTGTAATGATTATCATGATGATTCACCTTAATGCGTTGAACTCATGTGTCACACCCCTAGAGTACCTATTTATCTTAATTCGTTGAAAAAAATGCTTCATAGTGGTGTTGAAAGCTGAATTTCTAGTGCATCGATTCTGCGCTCACGAACCCGTTCGCCCTGCGTGGCTGCAATCACCCAAGAAATGCATAAAAGATAGTGTATTCTCGTGCCTAGTTGTCATAAAAAATCTAATAAAACATGAGATAAATATAGAAAATAGCGAGAATATAATATAGAAAATGAGAAATATATATATATATATATATATATATATATATATATATATATATATATATATATATATGTGAGATATATGTATGTAAACGATCAATTTTATTTGATGAAGGCTAAAAATTGCAAACTGCTAAGTTGCAGTTGTAGTTTTATACAATTTTTATAACTGAGAGCAAGTAAAAACCCAGAAAAAAAACTCGAAAACTCCCATTTCGGACACCCGCTACTCTATATCATATTTTTTTGATTTCTTATATTTAAACGAATAGTACACAATAAATTAAACTTATTTTACTAATTTTATGTTGAGGATGTCATAGTTACCGTTTTGAATAAAACCTTAACTAAACTTATATGGATTTTATCGCGTTTATTTAACTTATATCGTATCGTATCGTATTTTTATTTTATTTTTAATTCCCGACGTTTCGGGTGCTCTACAGCACCCATGGTCACGGGGGACTGAGATGTTTGATGTTCCTATGTCATTCTTAGCTCGACTAACTTCCGCTTTTGAATACAAATTTAAGGTCCGATCTATACAGAACAAGCTTACAGTATCTTGAATTCTTGCAGTGGTATGCATGCATTTGAATTTAATTTTAATAATTATGGAGCACAAGAGATCTGCTACAGAAAACAACTGGACGCCCAGCTTTATCACGTTAAGCCAGTATTCCAAGACAATACCTGTCTGGCTCTACCACTTATAATAATTTTACTTATGATTTCTTATATTTACGTCGAAACGAATTGAAACGTCGGGAATTAAAAAATAAAAGTAATTAAAAGTAAAATAAACGTGATAAAATCCGTAAAAGTAATTTTACTTATTTTTGATTCCTCACGTTTCGTGTGCTTTGCATTACTCATGTTCAAGGTTTATACAGGTAACTCGAATGTGTTATTGCCTTAAAAGCAACTTACTAACGGTTATCATGGATAATTTACCTTTCCTTTAGTCGATGTGGAGTTGAATGCTACGGGACAGTGAACATATTGAACCGAGCTATATCTATAAAACAAATGTAGGTTATTTGTTTGTTCATATGTGTTGTAAATGTGAATACATTTATAGCTAGTTAACGATCTTTCTTTTGCGTAGATGTAAACCCATTGAACCGAAATATTGAAGGGTTAAAAATATGAATTTTTAAGTTTTTATGTCACTGTAGTTCAGATATTTTAGAATACTAGTCATCAAATAAAGTTTCATTTAATTCCACCTTATTCGCCTCCCACACGAGACCTCCCTAAACCCACAGAACCTCACCCTTTACTCCTCCCACTCCCCACGCAAAGCAGCCGCAACGTCGGGAATTAATAATTAGTAAAATTAAACGCGATATAATCTAAAAACGCGTGAAACTATTTTATTCAATTTGTGCAAAAAAATTTATAGTTTTGCAGTACTATATCTGGTGCGATTATGCCCGTGCCCTAAAAATAATAAAATCTGAAGTATTAAGGTTTTAGGATAGGTAACGTCGAATGAGTTTCTTACAATAAAAGCTATTTTCATATAAACTTACTCAGAAAACTTGTACTCAGTAACAGCAAGCAAATATTCACATTTATTACAATAGGAAACGTAAAATTCCTTTAATAAGGAGTGACATCGGTCCCTATACCGTAGTCCGACCGTAGAATTGGACATGCGGTGATCTTCTTGGACATTTCATAATACACCGCCACTTCATGATTTTATTTTGAAATTGTGAAAATAGCCCTTTAAAATTTATTCGATTGTTAAACTATGGAAGTAATTATACTTTATCCTTAAAATTAGAGTTGGCTAATTATGCTATAAAATTTTATAATTAACTTCACAATACGTGACCCTTAAGGGAATTTAACGTGTAAAATGGAATATACTAGCGTAATTTAATGCACAACTAGTTGTTACTACACCCACTAGACTAACGTTACGTAATACTTAATTAAATGACACCGATAATTAAACAAAAATTCAATGTTTTGTTGTCATATGTATTTCATTTAATGTGAAAAAAAAATGCTTAAATTATCTTCACCATTACAGCCCCTCACAAGTACACTGTTGTACATAGGTCTTCGCCAAGGAATGTTATAAAAAACGATTTTAAGCGATATATATTACCGGATGTGTTACCACATCATGACTTTATCTTTAGGGGGACCGCCCTACACTCTACTTACCGTTACAAGGTTGCCCTTCGGCAACCCATCGGTTGTCAGTTTATCGAGCTATATTATGTCACCGCCAATGCGGACGCAGCTTATTGATCATTTGAGCTTTTTCGTTTACTCTGGTTCTTACGGATCTTTATTACGAGTTCTAGGAAGCAGACTATTTTGTAAATTTTAGAATAACAAATAAAAGATGTGTACTTTATTAGAATTTTATTTACGTATTCCATTTAAATTTTACAATAAAAAGAATAAAACAACAATGTGATTTAAATTTCGTTACATTTTAGAAGACGATTTCGTGCAAAGAATTGACTTTATCTTATGTGAGAACACAGCCATAGATTAATGTCTCTTACTATTACAAAATAACTTATTCGAAAACTTAACAATTACATCGAAAGCCCTAGTTCTTGAAATGAACTTAAAATAAATAAAATATACTTTGTAGTCTTTATCTTAATTTTAATTTGTTTATGCTTATATAAATAAAGAATTACGTTTATTTAAATGATGATACATAGATGCGAAATGAACAAAAAATTTATAAGTATCTGTTTTTAATTTACTTGTTTGTATATCACTCTATTATAGTAGCTTATTAATGCACTAACTAGACTTATCACCATACAATATTCTTACTTATGTGTAACTATTTATAAAGTTTATCTATTCTTAACACACATATATATCGAAAAGAAAATGAACGCCGAGTGTATAGTACATTTTTATCTAATTTGTGAAATTTAAATAAATAATTAATTTACTTTGACACATTTACTTTCACTTACACATAGTTTTAGCATTCATGTTATCTCAATTCATCAAGAGAAGAATCTGTAATTGGATACATTAAATGTTTTCATTACTCGTATTAATCATGGTACCATTGAGATCGATGACTTTATCTACACTTATTTCTAATATCACGACGGAAAAACCTACACCAATCCTCATAAGCTCCCAGACATCAATGTATTAATGAAATCATTTAGTATTAGGGTAATCCATAAAAATATGCAAACACCAGCAGCAGATCCTGAAACAAAATTATTAAATAAATTATAGCTCGTACGGATAAAGAATGGGATTATATATGGCGGCTCATAGAGCCCGTACCATCAACATTCACAATACAAATAATGAAAATCCGCTAATAACGGTATATCGTTATTAAGTATGTTAATTAAAACGTTGGATATATTATTCGGTTAGTTGAAAATTATCTATTAATGGTAAAATATTTTAATATAATTATATACATTAATTTTAAAATAACATTGATAACAAGTGACCTGCACTGGCTTCGCTTGAATAAAATTGAATTATTTATAAGTATAGATAAGTAAATTATACATGAAGACTAAAATAAAACAATGTATTTCAAAAATAAGTTTATATTAATTTAAATAACAGTCAAGAAAATATGTATTTCAAATAGGACAGACAGGCAAGAAACTCCATAGACATTTATTTTTTACATATAATTGTCTTTGAAAATTAAATTTTGCTACTTGAAACTTCATCAGAATCATCTGCTTTCAATTGAAAGAAAGATTCACACTTTGATCACATGACATCCTATCGTTATCTTCATAATCATTGTTAAAATCATAGCAGCTATCGCTTTTACAATGGCTGTACATCCATGATGCTATTTGGAAGTATGTTTGGAATAAATTTTTCCTCAATATATTTAGCAAAAGTTTTGCATATACATTTCATCATGGCAATAGCCTTTTCTGGTTTTGGCCTTAAAATCAATGCATAATCCATCTCCTTAGGTTCCGTGCCACCAAGTCTATCACTTTTATCTTGTTTTCATTATTTGTTGTTTACTTATAGATTATGTAGTATTATTATTGTGATAATGAGCAAAAATAGATAGATTCAATGATGGTATTACCATTTTTTAAGATAAAAGAAGAAGAAGAAGAACAAAAAGTCGTTGGAAAATTCAGGTCAAGGTCAAAAGACCCCCGTGGGCTTTAACATTTTATTTGTTCCATTATTTGGCATTAAAATGACCATTGTAATTACGAATAATTAAAAAGTTACATACCCGCGACAAAGAGACAGATAGACTTAGTAATAGGGTTCCGTTAAGCACTCCGCCGAGTAGAGGAAGAATATCTACTACCACATGTCACCACGTGGGTGTCGTAAGAGGCGACAGAGGGAAATAAGTCAGGAGATGGGCAGCAGCATCTTCTTAATAACGACTAAAAATAAAAAAAAAAACTGGAGTAACCAACCCGCTTGCGAAGCGTAGCAATGTGGTAAAAATCCCACATATGAGCCAGTCTATGGAGGTGGTTTATTCAGTAGTAGACTTTAATAGGATGTAAGAGTATAAAACGGGGCACACTATGGGTACCTAGCCGAAGAACGGACAACGCTTGAAATAACCAATACTCAATAGCGAATACAATATTTTTGTTTAAATCATTAATTTATACTTGGTACACATCTTCTTTTTTAATTCGAGTGACAATCCTGTTGCCACCATATTACAATGGGTGATAACCTTCCAGATTTTTCTCTTTCTCAAAATACTTTAAAACGTTATACTTATACAATTTTATGTAAAACACTATATAGTCATTTTCCGCGTTTATGCTCCATTGTTAAGAGAATGTAGTTAAAATAGTAAAAGAAAAACATTAATAGGCAACAAAAACGAAATAACTAACAACGCTTTAGAATAAATAATAAACAAAAAACAATAACAGCGACTCAAAAAAAGTATGGACAAAATCAACATTACATATTTTGTAAAAAAAACTCTCAGAACGCATCTAGCTCACAAATTTGCGAAACTGGGTAATATTTTTAGTTTATGGCATTTTGTTACCATAAATGGTACAAATGGCCAATGACAAGTTGGACTGAAGTTGCACGTACGGAAAACGCATATCGCAATATTTTTGTTGTAGTCTATACCGACGGGTGTGAGTATAGATAGCAACAGTGGTTTATAACAGTGGTAGAGCCACGCGGCAGCTTTGCTGTTGCACGTATGGGCCGGCGGTGAAACCGGGGTGGTACCATGACTTCACAGAATACCGGCGTGAAGTGGAAGCTCTGCTTCCGCGTTTCGTCTGGTGAGTGCAGTTGGCCGGAGGCCTAAATCCTCCCCCCCCCCCGCCATCAACATGGTAGCGAAATTAAATGATGATAGACTACCCCAGGAGGATACCAGCACCCCTAGAGAATCCCTCGCTGAGCATCCACGACCATGTTTCTCCACTTCTGAGCGTGGGTGCTCAGGCTGCCCCGCGTATTCTGGGGGGGGGGGGGGTAAAATTCCGCTCAATACTACAACTGCTCGGGGCAAACGGAGCAACAAGACCAGGGCGACCCCTGCCACGCTGTCCACGAATTTCTGCAATATCAGGGGACTTCACTCTAACCTAAACGCCGTCCACTACCATCTCGAGACGGCGAGACCGGCTCTGCTCCTTCTGACCGAGACGCAGGTGTCCTCTCCGGCTGGAGTTTGCGCTTACGTCGGAGAGGACATCTGTTCTCGACGCCTCCGCAGACTTGAAGGTTCGGACCTGTCCATCCTTTGGCTACGCGTAGACAGCGACGACCATCTACGGGTGCCTCTATAGGTCCCATAGCGGTAATGCCGAAACAGACCGACTTTTCGACCACGTCCGCAAAGATCGTGATCCTCGGCGACTTTAACGCTCATCACACCGAACCAAGCCAGGTTCACGTTTAACCGATCATGCGGGGAGATCTGTTCATGATTTTGCCTTGGCATATGGTCTGACACAACACCAGTTGCCTACTTTGCCTACGCGGATTCCAGATGTGGAGGATCATGCACCTTCCCTGTTGGATCTTTTGCTGACCACTCACCCGGACGGATATCAGATTTCCGGCGACGCCCCTTTAGACTCCTCGGACCATTGTCTTGTCCGCAGTGTGGTGCCACTCACGCTGAAATCGCAGTTGCATTCTGCAGGCTGCCGCCGTGTTTGGCACTATAGGGCAGCCGATTGCGGTCTTTCTTTGCATCCTACCCTTGGGGGCGGGTTTGCTTCTCGCATGACGATCCCAACGTTGTTGCGGATTCTGTCGCTGATGTGGTACTTCAGGGTATGGAACTTTTTATTCCTTCCTCTGTTGTGCCCATTGGAGGCAAATCTCAGGCATGGTTTGGTCGCTCCTATAAAATAGCATCATGATATAAGCAGGAGTGCTAGCAAGTTTGCGCTGACGCATCAGCATCCCGGGATGTAAACACCAGCGCTCTAAAAAAGAAGTATAATTCCGCCTCTAGGTCCTTCAAAAGAGTCATTGTCAAGGCAAAGTCAGAGCACATAGGCAGAATTGGCGAGAAACTAGTTCGCCTTCCTTCTGGAACCCGTGCATTCTGGTCTCTCGCCAAGGCTGTCCAGGGGAATTTCTGTCAGCCATCTCTTCCATCTCTGCTGAGGACGACTCACTGGCCCATACCGCAAAGGAGAAAGCCGATCTTCTAGGCTCTTTATTTGCGTCCAACTCGACCCTCGATGACGGGGGGAGTACGTCGCCCAACATCCCGCGGTGTGAGTGCTCCATGCCGGAAGTGCAGTTCACACAGCGCTTGGTTCGCAAAGCACTCATCTCCTTGGACATCCACAAGTCGAGTGGACCTGACGGAATAACCCCAATTGTACTGAGGACGTGTGCTCCAGAGTTGGCACCGGTTTTAACGCGTCTTTTCCTGTACTCCTACTCCCTAGGCGTAGTCCAAAATCATGGAAGACGGCTTTCGTCCACCCGATCCCTAAAAAAGGCGACCGCTCAGACCCATCCAACTACCGGCCTATCGCTATCACCTCCTTGTTCTCCAAAACAATGGAGTCCATTGTAAACTGCCAGCTCATGAGGTACCTTGAGGGTCACCAGCTGATTAGTGACCGCCAATACGGTTTTCGCCGTGGTCGGTCAGCTGGTGATCTTCTGGTCTACCTAACTCACAGATGGGCGGAGGCAGTAGAGTCCAAGGGGGAGGCATTGGCCGTTAGTTTGGACATTGCGACGGCCTTCGATCGGGTATGGCACAAAGGGCTTCTTTCGAAGCTCCTTTCCTATGGGCTTCCCGAGAAATTGTGCGATTGGATTACCAGCTTTCTAGCAGATCGGAGCATCAAGGTCGTTGTAGATGGTGCAAGCTCCGATTGCAAGCCTATTAATGCTGGTGTTCCACAAGGCTGCGTGCTATCGCCAACGCTGTTCCTTCTGCATATCAATGATATGTTGCAAACCCGTAACATTTATTGCTATGCAGATAGCAGTACTGGTGATGCTCTTTACACCGGCCGAGCCAATATTTCTCGGGAAAACGTCTCTGAGTACCGGGACAAACTTGTGTCTGAAGTCGAATCTTTGTTGAACAGAGTCTTGGATTGGGTGCAACTAAATCTAGTCCAGTTTAACCCCCCGAAGACACAAATTTGTGCGTTAACCGCTAAAAAGAACCCCTTTGTCGTATCTCCTCACTTTCAAGGCACTCCCCTTGTTGCCTCAGCCAGTATCGGTATCCTCGGCGTCGACGTATCGAGTAACGTGCAGTTTCGTGGTCACTGGGTGCTCGGCAGAACGAGACAGTATTTCATGCCGGCACACCGCCTGCAACTTTGTAAGGCGCAGGTTCGGCCGCACATGGAATACTGTTCCCATCTTTGGGCTAGGGCTCTCCAGTACCAGCTCCTTCCACTTGACCGCATCCAGCGCAGAGCGGCTCGAATCGTCGACGACCGAGTGTTTTCCGATTGGCTCTATTCACTGGCACTGCGAAGAGATGTTGCATCTCTTTGCATTTTGTTTCGCATATACCATGTGAAGTGCTCTGAGGAATTGTACGGATTAATCCCAGACGCCAAATTTCGTGAACGCACTATGCGGAGAACCATCCACACCATCTGGATGCTTGGCGGTTCATCACTATACGTTTCAAAAGGAGTTTTCTTTCGCGTACAACCTCTCCGTGGAATAGTTTACCACGATACGACCTGGGGACCTTCAAGAAAAGAGCTTACACCTTTCTAAAGGGCTGGCAACGCACCTGCAATTCCCCTGGTGTTGTGGTTGATCATGGGCGGCGGTAGTCACTTAACATCAGGTGAGCCGCATGCTCGTTTGCCCCCTCTTCTATAAAAAAAAACAGTGTGCAAGCGAGAGATAAATAGAAGCGACGCCATTTCCAGTCCCATTTCATAAGTATGTCCAGTAATTTCATAAGTATTGTGCATAGTTAAATAAAATGTTTGTATATAATGCAGGAAGTTTTTATCTTTATGTAATGTCAGATGAAATTGTAAAATCCAAAAAGTTAACAGCAGTACGTATCAAAATAAAGTTGATGAAGATGTTTTTTATGTAGGAAATGTCTTGAGTTTCTCGGGTGACTAACTTTACCTGTCTGATAATAGTTATTCAAATAATAAAATACAACTTAAACAAACTAAAATGACAGTTTTATTAAAAAATAGTTTTATTGTTTGACTTTTATATTCAATCAGCTAATAGTATAATAATTTATTAATAGTATATTAATAATTTACTTCATGGATAATTTTTCACTGACGATTTAAAAGGCTCAAATTCTGGGTAATTTTTACAAAAGAAAAGTAAATTTCAGCTAACACCGAGACGTGACACAACGCGATGCAACGGGCACTTTTTAGATAGCCATAGAGAGATAAATATATCCGTATTTCTATGAAAACATGAAAGCGAAGTTAATTCACTCGCTTGTTTACTAGGAGTCTGGCTGCAGTGGTAGATGCAACCCGGGGCTAAAAATTCAATTATTATTGTTAATTATATACATGTGAAAAGTTATAAATGGTCATACACTTTTTATTTTCACTATACTAGTAATAACATATATATATATATATATATATATATATATATATATATATATATATATATATATATACATTCATAAATAATAAACTTTACATTACCTGCATTTGATACATATTTGGATAGCTGTGTACGCGAATGAATAGTGACGATTGCCGTTACGTCGCGAATAACGGGTGGTTCCACTAATAATATAGCTTCGCAACGAACATGTAAAGCACCACTTGCTGTCGGTGGTACTACGATTCGTAATATTCTCCAGGAAGCGCGTAGACCACCAAGTTCCGGAGCACTCAATTCTGTACGTTGCCAGACTCCAGGCTGCAAAATGAAAATAACAACTTAAAAACGCACTTTTAATTGTACTAAACAAAATTATAACTTCTCTTAAAATATTTATCGTGTAGTATTTTACATAGGTCGTTGATTATAGATACAAAGGGCCTTAAATATTTTTGAAATATTAGTTTACAGTATTTGACATTTTTTGTAATAGATTACAGGGTAACAGAACGGCTCAGTAGCGGCGGGATCATTGCTCCCATCGCGTTAGGGAAGCACTATACGCATGATATAAAATTAAGGCGAGGGCCAAGGTTCTGAGTTCGTAGTGGTGTTTCGTGGATGGTGTGGCAAAAGAATAGTACCTTTTTTTTTTGTAAGACATTATCAAATATTATCAAAATTAGATAATACATTAAATATATTTAGATAATTTTAACAAAAAAGCCATATTATGAATAACGTATTTAAATCTTGCTGTAAATTCGTCCGCTCAAAGTTTTGTTCATTCAACCTAGTTAAGACCTTATTTGTTTTTTGGTTTTAAATCAGTTACATCATAAGGATAATATTTTTAAATATTTTTACCAAAATCAAAACCATAAACATAAAATGAATTTATAATTAGAAAATATTCCACAGACACACATAAAAGAGAATATTTCAATAGCTTAATGGATATATAGATACACATAATGTATGCATTACTATCAAATTATAATATTTTACTTATATTATATGTATTATATTTGATATATCGTTTCACAATAACTTGTACTATCTAATCCGAATATATTGAATTTCTGATTTCATTACCCGAGCGTAAGAGCAAACCATTAAATCGAGTTAGCTATTTCTCCACTGTATCAGGTCTAGAGTGATAATTGTACAAGATTGCTTACAAACCTTTTGCAGTTCATTGTCAATGTACCAATTAATGTCGGACGGCGGTAGGGAATAATCCGAGGTGCAGTTCAGATGTAATTGTTCCCCTGGCCTCACTAGCTTCCGAGCTCCGATTATTACTGGATCCTTTTCTGGCATTGCTAGAAAAAATGTGAATTGAATAGTAGTACTAACGATGTGATATTATTTATTTGAAAATGTGTATAAAGGTTTTTGGTAACCACATGCACAAAAAAAATATTTAGATTTTATTTGACTTATGATTATGAGAACCATAATGGGAAATTTATCAAAGGAATTATATTATCGAAATTTTCGAATTGTATTGTTATTTACGTACGAATAATTATTACTCCTATCTGAGAATAATGTTCACCTCGAGCGTAATTTTTTTTTACAAAAACAATAATTATGATCGATTCAGAGAATTGCAAAATAGGTATTTTATCACGAAAAAAAAAATTAAAATGATGGAAAGTCGCTAAGAAATCTCGAATCTAAATTTTTATAAAGAGTTTTTTCTTTAGAGCTTCATGGTGATAAGGTCATGCTTAACGTAGTTTCAGTATTTTTATCTTTTCTTTTATTTATGTAATAAAATGATCTTCTGAAAATATACTCGTAAAATAAAAAAACCCGATGGTAAATGACGAGAGTTACTTACATACTTACGTATTAAATTAATGTGCGTTTTGCTTGATATTAAAGTATATTTTTGCGTGACCTTTCCCACTGCATCTTTCTACACTAGGCCTGGAGTTTTGATAAGCTGTTGAATACATTTTAAAAAAAATATTGATAAACTAACCGACAACAGTCATATGCTTGGTTTGCCTAGCTATTTGGAATTTTGGGCCTTCAGTTGACACCTCGCACGTATAAGCTGCTCTTGTCGCTAGTGGGGGTGGCATTACTCTTACCAAACAAGAATCAGTTTGACAATCACCACTTTGGACAATGATTCCCGATGCATTATATAAGCGTATTGGAGGCTGAAATAAAAATAATAATTTAGAACATAATCGAATTATTAGACTTATTTTAGTGGAAACTTAGTACCAGTACACACAAAATGGTGTCCATAGAATACTATAATACATACATAATAGAACGAGAGAGCGGACGGAGCCCGTGACTAACATGTCACTAACACGTCAATTCACACGTATAAATGTCAACACAATCAATCGTTTCCAATTTTCGTGTCAAGCGTAGCTGCATGCAAATTATTCAAAAAATGGCAAATTGTGCAATAATTACTTTTCGAAAGAACATCAGAAAATGGAATTAAATAAAGGAGATATTCTACAACCAGTAAGTAGAAACTATTAAACTAAATATATTTTGTGAATATTAGAAATGAAAATAAAGAAACATTTATGTGTCAAAAACATTAATCACAAGTCTAAAATGTGTTTGTAGTGATAATACGACGTAATTGCTTTTATGTGTGCTCCCGGCGACGCCAATCCTCCTACAAAGTAAGGTTGACAGCCATTCTATTGTGTATTGTAGTCTTCTATGATGGTGTCAAAGATGCTTTAGTTCATTATTAAAACGAATAAATATTATATAAGTTAGCTAACGTCAACAGAAAAATATATAAATGCATACATTAAACCACCGATACCTATATAATATGGCTATCTCGTAACTTAACGTTGTAATGAATATTGTATGATATACGTTTTTTGATTAAATAAATATACTTTAATTTTTGATTTTGATTTTGAATATGTCAATCAGATTCACCTTTGTAAAAATACGCCGTTACTTACGTTTTGTGATGGGTTATATCGGAATATTTCTTGTGTATCTCTATACCACTTTACAGAATGAAGTTTCTGATCTTCCATTTCAAAGTGACAACTGAGCTCAGCTGCTCGCCGTGGATCTGCGTACAGCGGCACTTTTAGTTGAGTAATTTTGTGCGCCGAAGTTATCACTGTCAACATATACATATTGTATTAAATTTAATAAAATTAAATGTTTTGTACCTATTTTAAATTCCCTTAAAAATAACTTTTTTCAAAAATTGATGTACACGTAACTAACGGAATAATGATTCATGTTATAGAAAATTGCTAATGACAATGTAAACGACTGAAATGAACTTAAATGTATTATGTAAAATGGTGATACATTTTCTCTCTCCGATTATCCATGCGGATCTCTAATCTTACTAAATACTATTCAAGATCACTAATATCCTATCAATTTTTGAAACTTAAATAAAAGATTATCAATATTTAAAATCTATAGGATGATAACTAAAATTCTTCAGCCTATCGTGGGTAACCTTCTAGAACTGCGGCTACATTTAGAATTCCCCTTTCTAAATACAGATGTAACCTACCACGCCCTAAGTATAAAATCTGGTAGTAATAATAGGAGGTGTAGTCTAATTAAATAGGCTAATTAATACGTGTGTTTGTATGCTTAGTTATGAATGACGTATACCTCGAAATTTTGTCGGATCTCACAAAAGAAGTTTTCTTAGCTGCTATGTTTGTAGTTTGTATGTGGTTAATAGATTAATTTTATTTTAAATATTCCCTTTTCTGAGGGTATGGGACAACTTCAAATTGCGTTCTTAAATCAGCCAGATTTTCGTTCCGATGTTACTTAACTGTTATAAAGTTAAAGCTCTTCTTTGACTAGTTATCAATATGTAGGTACTTTGAATAATAATGTAACGGTGTGTGTTCTTGTCATAAGCAATTTTATATTTAAATAATAAAATTAAAAAGAAATAAATTGTAAACAGGAACTTCATGGAGTTACGGACACTCTTAAAGGTGAACATGTTCTGTGAGTTTTCGAAATTCATAATTTTGTAATATATGCCAGTTAGTAAAAAAAATCATAAAAGTATAGCGTGTATAATATCAATTTGGTTTCTTGTTCACCATCAATCACCTCTTACGATAATTGCAGGATAAAATGGAAATGGATTCTACCATACACTATTCAGCTATTTAGGTTTATTTAAGTAGTTAAAATATTATATAATTAGATCCGTTAAGGGGTTTATCGTTCGCTATATTTCACAGTACGCGAGCAACCCAAGTTCGATCCCCACCGGCATAAGTGAAATTGTTATTTGCAATTTTAAGTGCCTATTTCCTACGTGCTCGGTGGTGAAGGAAAACCGCGTGAGGAAACCTGCGTGTCTGAGAATTAAAAAACATAAAATATATCGAAGTCATGTGAAGTCTAAACCCTTCACAGAAGTGAGTGGAGACCTGTGCCCAGCAGTGGGGCGTATACAGGCTATAACATTAAGTAGTTTTAATACATAGTTTTGACGGTTTAAAAAAATAAGGGTGACAAGTGAAAATATAGTTCTTCTGATAGTAAGTGGATATTGTGGCTCACAGGCGTCTACATCTATCCACGATTCAGATTGAAAATTAAGACACTTTGTCACCCTTGAGGGCTAATGCATAATGTCTTAATATCAGTTAAAAAGATCTGCTGTTTTTATCTTATCTGTCTTACACTCACGTCACGAAACACAGCAGTATTATCCTGCTGTTTATTACATTATTAATATTAAAGCAAAGTAGGTAATTTTAATTTTTTATACAAAATTTAATTTAAAATAGAAGAATTAAAAACAAGTGATAAACACCTCATACATCAAGCCGACCCATTTGTGCCACAGCCATAATATATAGCTGCAGTGTGATTCTACAACGGAAAGGTTGGTTTTATATTATATAAGTATATGAAAAGTAAATAATTACATTACATTATTAATATTAAAGCAAAGTAGGTAATTTTAATTTATTTTTATACAAAATTTAAGTAAATATAGAAGAATTAAAAAAGGGATACACATTTAATGAGTATTGATTAAATCGTAGTCAAAATATATATGGTATGAATTTATTATATGAATATTTAATGAACATTATTACTGAAGGTTTTAATGAAAATTAGGTATGTGGAAATATTCCAGGCAAAATGCTTGCGTGCAAAGCGATAATAGACGAAGTATAGACAAAGACTGCCCATCTCCCTGTGGTGTTTGCCGCACACTATGTAATTACAATTTTGCAACAATTACTTAATTTGTTTTATATTGTGTCGTGTTATATTTCAACTGTATATATGGCCTTAGCTATAAATTGTTATCTATATATAATTAGTTGCGTCCAATTAGAGTAATGGAGAAAATATTCGAGGACAGTACTACAAAATTATAACCATTTTATTGTGAATTTAATTATCATATCCTTAATACACAATTCTTGAAAATAAATACAATGGCGGTATAACTACGTGTAACAAAGAGGGAGAGCAACAGCAATAAGCAAGGGACCTCAATACTTGCTGGTTAATTATGTTCTACAAACATAGTAATATAAGTATACTCTGCATTATCGGCTTGAAATTCGTAAGAAATTTTATTACATTTGAGTTAAAACCAGAAAAAATATTTTGAAAAATTAACATCATGAAGGAAATTCAAATTTTTACTTTATGGGCGAGTTATGTGTTGAAATTTTTTTACAGCTTTGTAGCAACATCTTCTTTAATGTGTTAACAAGTAGTATCAATATAGCTTTTTAAAGTAATCTTCTTCTAAAATGTAGTACTATGTTTCAAATCAGTGTCATGTTCATCATGTTGACAAATACAATTCAAAAAAAGCACATGTCTGTCTCATCCTTATCACTTTGCGGTTGAATCGTGTAGTGTCGGTGTAAGAATATCCATTACCCTATATCGACCCGTCGGTGTCGTATGAGGCGTCAGTGAAAATCAAACTAGGAGATTGCCAGCAGCGTCTTTCATATAAGAGGCAAAGAAGGCTAAGAGGCAATCAAAAAAAAAAAAAAAAAAAAAACTAGTAATGGTAACGGTTGACTGCATGATATATAGATGTCGTGATATTTCCATCAAAACGCTTTTATTTGAAATAAATTTTGTCGAACGAAGAAAGTAACATCGTATTTGTCGGCCCAATGGAATGCCAAGAGCCGACTCAAAAATAAATAATCAAGTTTAAAGATTTAATCCGGTTTATAATGATGCATCATGGAGACTGCGATCTTCTTCATTATTGAGATCTGTTCGAAACGTTCATTCTTACTTCTTTCAACCCCCTAACTTGCGACAGTGGACTTCTTTCGTAAAAAAAGTGTGGCCACAAAAGTATCACCCCAACTAATTAACAAGCGAGAATGTTATAAGTGATATATATATATATATAACAATATGTAACGTAATTAACGCACACCCTCAGACACCCCAATTAGTATATTATGTTATAATCATAATACACACACTGAATTTTTAGTTAAATTTTTTGACTGATCAAATTAGTTATACTAATTCCGGAAGAATGTTGTGGTCACAGTAACAAATCCACGAACGAAAAGACTTTAACGTGCTTGAAATAAAGTTAATTTTTCTTTATTTTTATTGAATGACAGAATTAGTAATAATACAAATAAAACTGCACTCTTAAAAGTCTTATTGCCTTAAGTTACGGTCCATTTCAGTTTGTTTTGACTGTACAGATTTAGTGTGACTGTAATTTACGTAGTTTTAATTATTTTTTGATAAAAAATTACCTATATTAAAAATGATAGGAACGATTCTGAACAAACTACTTTCTCAAAGTGCGTTAATTAAGTTACATATTGTATATATATATATATATATATATATATATATATATATATATATATATATATATATATATATATCTTAATTACAATAGCATCTCGCAGTAAAAATAAAAACAAGAAACATTTTGTATGTGCTATAACCATCCGCCTCTGAATATATATTGTTGAATAAAGAGTATTTGGCTAAAAGACAATTACTATTAAAATACAAGATTTTCTACGTGATGCAAAATCAGCACCCTATCATTAAGTAACCATATATTATAGAGGAGATATGAGCATTATATACAAAGAACAACGTCTGCAGTTGATTACTAAATATTTTACATAATGAACTAAATGACATAAAGGGTAGCTGTTAGAAAACACTTGCGTGTTCTTTTTAAAAGTTTTTATTAATTATACATATAGGAAACTGTGAAATATCTCAATGAGGAGAACTTTAGTGAATATTAATTAATAAAGTATTAAATAATTATTATATTGATTTCCAGTCTTTAAATTTGTACTTAAAGGCACCAATTAAAGCAACACAATTTACCAACGCACATCGCGACAAAACTCGCGATACCATCCATACGATTCCACTGTACGATGTAAAAGCAGTTTTCTTCCTCGCAAAACTTCCTTGTGAAATCGACTACCAGTAGAGATTTATCCGGACCGATACGACTTGGGAACCTACAAGAAAAGAGCCTACTTCTTTTTAAAAGGCCAGCAACGCATCTGCGATTCCCCTGATGTTGCAGTTGTTCATTAGGCGGCGGTTATCACTTACCATCAGGTGAACTATATGCATGTTTGCCCCCTCTCCTTTAAAAAAACCCCTTAATAATGGCCTGCTTGAGTATAATTGCACGAACTGGTACATTAAGTCCTAAAATTGAGTGAAAGATAGACAATTTATGTAAAAGTGAATAAGTATAATACTGGTAAGGTATGAAAGTATTGTCTAGTAGTATCAAAAATAAATTACTAGACAATACCTTCGTACCTTTGACGAATATATTTTTGATGAGGTCAAGTATAGAAAAAGAATCGATAGTTTTTGAAACCCCACAATTAAAATTTTTCCTGAATTGGGGAACTATTCTTTCATACTCTATGGACCTATCGATTGGAATAAAAAACCACATGAAAAATGGTGGCAATTTTTCATAATAAAAATTGTAGATGCGAATGAAATTATTTGAAAAACATCACATGTATTGTAACATATGGTGAATGGAGTGTAGACGTAAGGGGTATAGACTCTGTATAAAAAAGTGTCCGTAGGAAAGTGTTAAATAAGGTTGGCGCCACT